TTGGCGCGGCGCTCGAGGGCGCGCTGCTTGAGGGCCAGGGCGGCGGGTGAGCTGGAGCAGGCGTTCAGGGCGCGCTTGCCGTGGACGGTGACGATGTCGCGGAGGGCGAGCTCTGCGGCGATGTCTTCGGCCGTGTGGCTGCCGTGGGCTGCGACGGTCCCGATGAAGGGGGAGAGGGCCAGGGCCGCGGCGAGGGCGGAGCGGAGCGCCATGGTGATGATCTCGAGATGGGAGGCGAGTGAGGCAGACCACAGAAGTTGTCAGGAACAAGCTGGAAGAAGAGAAGGACTGATGGAGGTGAAAAGCCTGGTGAGAAGAAATGAGAGATATTTCGTCTTTCTGGCGAGAAACTCGGCCTCCTCTTATATCATTCATCGTCTTGGCGTTTCCATGGTCCATCTTGTTTCCTCCTTCCTGATCCTGATGATCCCGTCAACGTCAACATCTTGGCATTGCCATGGCATTGCAACATACCCTCATCCCTTCATCTGGCACCTCGAACAGTAGGTACATTTCGCAACCCACCGGCCAACAGTGTATCCCGGCACGACAAGTCGAGCACGGAGCACGCAAAAGCAACGACATTCCGTACCAAGTAAAGACGTCGTCTCTCTCTCTCGTTTCGTTGGGCGTTCCCCACACTCCCGCGCGCGGGCGCCTGGCGAGACATCGTCGTCACCTTCCTTCCCAGAGTCGTTTCGACCGACGTATGCGGGGCGTGACAATGTTCGTTCAAAGCCACTGTATGGATTTAGCCTCAGCAAGGTACTCTGTAGTCGGGGATGTAAGGTAGTTTGGGATCGAGTTGGTTCCTCTTCCCGGAGCGTTTACAAGGATCGTAGTAACTTACCTAGAAACCTGGTCGTCCGCCACTCCGCGCGCGCCGCGGAGCCAGAAGAATTACACTACCTGTGTAAGGTTAAGGAGTGGCGGCGTTTCTGCAAGTGACGGGCTAGCAAGCGCGAACGGCCGGGAGGTCGCAAGGGTTGGGGGGTTATTCGGACGTCCAAGACATCTGCCATCCAATGAAGGCAGAGGCAATTCCAATTGCATTGCGTTGGGCCATTTTGCAAAAACAAAAAAAGTGATGGCCCTGGTGGTCCTCTCCCGTTCCGCAATGTGAAGTGTGTGGTTCAATTGTCCAAGGTACGGTGGTACGGGATCGGGGTGTGAGTGGGTCCCTTTTGGCCCCCGGGGAGCGGCGGTTTGGGATGGCGCATCGGGATGTGGGCAGCGGTCGGGAGGGTGGTTACGTGGCTCGGCCGAAAAGCCTAGGCCACAAACAAAAGAACAGTGACACTCCTTCTCGACTCGACTCCTGCAGATGGAACCAAAGCACGAACAGGAGGAGACGTTTGGATCAAGGAGGAAGGAGGATAATGCTCCTGATTCCATGACGCGGCCGACCACTCTGCCAAGAGATCTCTTGACCAAAGGCGTACAGACGTGCCTGGAGATCCAATTTGGGTGGGTTTCATCTTTCGGAGCTTTGAGGAGGAGGAGGGTCAAGTCCAGCGACTCCCAGCCTGACCAAGCAGCACGCTGCAGTATGAATTTCTATACGTCGATACGACGACTTCGGAATGGCTGCGATTCCCGGTAGTTATGGTTGTGGAGCCGGCCGTCGATGAGCCTCCCTCCGGTGGCATGCAGAAAGGCATCCGCAGCCCAAAGCCACTTATGCTTGAATGTTCTTCGGCCCCCCCCCCCCCCCCCCCCCCCTTCTTCCCCCTAGCACCAACCCTTGAAAAGTGGGATGGGCAATCTATGGCGGCCGCGTCATGAGCGAATGAGGACGGCAGTGAATGTAATGGACGACGTTGTTTGGCGATGCGGAGGCGGCAGCTAGTGTTTTGGCCTGCCTAGGGGGTGGATGGTGGATATACACCCATTCTCTACAAGTATAGTTTGCATCCATACAGTAATCTGTACGGCTTGCGTGATATGGATTCCGTCCCGGCCTATCCACAAAAGAGGAAGCCGGAAGATGGGCATCGAGGATGGAAAGTGGTAATGGCGTCCGAACCCGTTCAAGCTTATTGGAGATCCCTATCAAGGTCCCCGTTGATCAAAGAGGAGTCAATGCGACTCTGCTCCTCCCTTTCCTTCTCCCGTTCGAACTCTGGACGTGCTTCCAGACCCAATGACTTCACAGGAGCGACGAGCGGCCCCTTCACCGAAAGTCCACCTTGGAGGATCTAGAGCTTTACTGCGTAGAAGAACCTGGGAACTTCGCCCACATTGCTTAACCTCCTTCCAATCTGTGCGGCCGGCCCCAGAAGCCGGGCAGAGATAGCCTCGGCCGCCCACTATCTTGTCCACCTTTTCGCCCACCTTTTTTGCCCCCAGGCCCAGCCCCTCTTGACGAAGGCCGTTGACGTGCTTCACATGTCTAAGCAGGCACGATTCCTTCAAACTTGCCCTCGGGAGAAATGATGTATTCAAACAAGTTCCTATTGCCCACATAAGTTACACATCCCGGAAGAACTTGGCAAAAGAGAACAAAAGATTTTTGTTGACCGCTACGCAGGTCGGCCAACGCCGCTCTCTCACTTTCAGTCTCTCACACACATCACGCAAGCTTCCCAACAACGTACGGATGTCCCGCGCTCAAACCGCCATCAACAGCCCACGCCTGCCCATTGACGTAGCTACTCTCATCGCTCCCCAAAAACAGCGCCACCCGCGCAATCTCGTCGGCGTGCCCGCCGCGCTTCATCGGGTTGATCTGCCCGATCCGACCCGTGGTGCCGCGGGCGCGGGCCTGGTCCCACATCTGCGACGTCATGCCCGTCTCGATGAGGCCCGGGCAGATGGCGTTGACGCGGACGTTTGTGCCGGCCGCCTGGTAGGCGCACGTCTGCGCGACGGAGATGACGGCCGCTTTGGCGGCTGAGTACGGCGTCGTGCCGGCGTTGGAGCGGATGCCGGCGACCGAGGCCGTGAGGATTACGCTGCCGCCCGGGGTGGCTTTTTCGGCTGACGTCTTGCGCATGGCGGGGGCGGAGTGCTTGGCGGCGAGGAAAACGCTGTGTATTTTTTGTTAGCGCACAGGGTGGCAGAGATGTTCAACTGGCAGGTCAGTACACTCACCTCAACGTATTCGTCCGCAGGTTCTGCATAAAGTCATCTGTCGAGATGTCGGTGAATAGGTTATGAGGGCCGGTAATGCCGGCGTTGGCGAAGAAAATGTCCAGCCTGCCGTACGTCGTCATGGCGTGAGAAACAACCTCCTTCACGGCGCTCTCCTCGGCAGCGTCGAACTGGCGGGTATGGACCTCGACCTTGGGGTACAGCTTGTTAAGCTCCTTCTTGTGAGAGGCGAGGTTCTCGTCTGCGTAATCACAAATGTAAATAGCTCGGGCGCCGTTCTCGGCGAACTGGTGTGCTGACGCGCGACCGATGCCCATGAGAGAGTTTGCGCCTGGCCTCGAATGTCAGTCTGTCTGCTGCTGCGGGATGTGGGTTCGACTGACCTGTAATGATCACGACCTTGCCAGGTATTCTCCGCGCCGCAGACGGCCCGGCAATTTTGATAGGAGGAGGCGCATCGAGCTGCTTGCCCAGAGCTTGAAGCCGTTCCGATGCCTTGTCTGACATTGTGCTGGTGATGATGTGACGATGAGTTTCGATTGATGGGTGAAAAGATGAATGAATGAGGTCAATCCGGCCAGGAGGGAATTAATTTACATGAGAGAGGACAGGTTGTTTATTTGGATATAATGGCAATTGCTATGCAGATATTCGGCGCGGCTGAACAACGTTGAAGATGAATAAAAATGCGGAGGAGTGGGAGGAGAAATGACGATGCGGAGGCCGAGGGAGCTTTAGCTTGTAATTAGGGACCGAACCGAGGCTCGCCGGGGAATTCGCAGCTCCTCTAAGCTATTAGGTAATTACTGCGTACCTATGGTTGGGGAAAATACCCCGCCAATTGGTGGGCCTTTACCCCAGATGTTAGCGGAGGACACAATCCCCGGTCAGGCTCGGGACCACATCTCCCGCAGTGGGCTGCCCAATTCTCAAGTCCATCGTTATCTGCGCAATCTCTTTCATGTCGTCCTGCAGATACCTAATACCAAGACCCCAATATCCGTACGGATACATCGCCAGGTCATCCCTATCAGATAAGACTATCATGTTCAACCATAAAACTTTGTCGGCGGGATCAACGACCACCGCAGACGTCCTCCGACGATGGACCGGATTTCGGTTTGCGCTGTCGCCGAGCTTGCTCTGGCGATGCCTTGGTTGTAACACGTGTGTGATATTACTCGCATTTGACTTGAAGACTCTCACGTCAATAGGTCGCTGGTGCCTCTATCCCCACCCACGTTACAGAGCCTCAACATCACATAAAGGAACGGACAGTCACAAACGCTTGGCTACATCAAGTACGGGGCAATGCTTCGTTTACATAATTCTACAAACGAAATAAAACACTCAATCGAGTGGCCACACTACACCGAGCCCAGCCGCCGCCAATCCCCATATGGAGAACGGTCCGCTTACGTCGCTGTGATGGGCGGAGTTTTATAGACCCAACATAATCGGTCTTGCCCCCCCCCCCCTGAACTCAATAGCCAACCCAATCTATGCCCGACGCCGACGCCCTAATTTGCGAAGGCGTATCAAAAGCCCCAGTTGAGGGGAGAGTGTTATTCGTGCGGCGCAGCGGGATCTAACAAGCAGACCCAGACGACTTTCCTTCGCTTTTGGCCAAGAACGTGGTTGACCACCAAAGCCTATGTTGGCCAAAGGCCGGCCTGTCTCGCTTTCCTTCTCGTCCACCAAAGGCCAACGGAATCGCAAATTCTTTAGATTTCTGATAAACGCCTGCCATGCTGTACCGGTAAAATGATACATTGCAAGACCCATGCGAGTGCCTCCCAGCAAGCAAGCCGCGACTCGGCCCCCGCACTTCCGCATGCTAACCGTAAAAAACAAAATGTGTTGATGGTAGTCCTGACCAAAGTCACGTCAAGCCCAGTAAGCTCTGATCATGACTTCTGGTTGGATCCAGGAGCGACGCCACCCGTAGAGGTCGCAGGTGGAGGTGGCGCCGGGGGAGGCGTAGTGGGTCCGGCAGGAGGAGGGAACGGCGGGGGAATCGTCTGGCCAATATCGACGCCCGAGCTCGCGGGCACCTTCATAGGGCCTTTGGGCATGGGCGTGCGGCCAGGAAGCTTCTCGCCGCGAATCACCTTCTCCACCTCGTTCTTGTCCAGCGTCTCGTACTCGACAAGAGCCTTGGCCAGGAGGTCGAGCTCCTTGCGCCTTGACGTGAGCAGCTCGCGCACCTTCTCGTATGACTCCGTCAAGGTACGTTGCACTTCTGACTCGATGACTGCCTTGGTCTCTGAGCTGAGCTGGTTGTAGCGCTCGCCGTACTCCACGGGGCCGAGCTTGGCAGACATGCCGTAGAGAGCGACCATCTGGAAAGCCAGGTTGGTGGCGTTCTTGAGATCCTGCTTACTGTTAGTGATATTCTACGCATCAAACTCGCGGGCAACACTTACGCTTGAAACACCGGTGGTCACCTTGTCGGTGCCGTAAACCAGCTCCTCAGCAAGCTTTCCACCCAGAGAAGTCTCAATGAGACTCTTAAGATCCCTCGTCGTGTACGAGTACTTGTCCATCTCGGGAAGGTGTGCAGTGTGTCCGAGACTCTGGCCGCGAGGCAAAATCGTAACCTTGTAAAGCTTGTTGGGACCGCTCTCATGGTAGAAAGACACCAGGGCGTGGCCGGCCTCGTGATAGGCAGTCATCTCCTTCTCCTTCTGGCTGATGACCATGCTCTTCTTCTCGGCACCCATGATGACCTTGTCCTTGGCCCACTCAAAGTCCGTCATGGAGACGGCAACATTCTTGAGCCTGCTAGCGCGGACGGCAGCCTGGTTGACAATGTTCTCGAGCTCGGCACCGGAGAGTCCACCAGTGCTGGACGCAATGGCCTCAAAGTTAATCTCGGGGGCGGCCTTGATCTTCTTGGCGTGGTACTTGAGAATCTCGATACGGCCGCGGACGTCGGGCAGGGGGACGGTGACGTGGCGGTCAAAACGTCCAGGTCTGGTAAGAGCCTTGTCGAGAAGTTCCGGGAAGTTGGTGGCAGCGATAATGACGACACCGCTGTTCTGCTCGAAACCGTCCAGTTCCGTCAACAGCTGGTTGAGCGTCTGCTTGTGGTAGGCGGCATCCCTAGTGTTGCGGCGTCCACCAATGGCGTCGAGCTCGTCGATGAAGATGATGGCGGGAGACTTGGACTTGGCGGAGGCAAAGAGATCGCGGACACGCTTGGCACCGACACCGACGTAGACCTCGTCGAACTCACTGCCAGACATGTAGAAGAAGGGAACGCCAGCCTCACCGGCAACGGCGCGAGCCAAAAGAGTTTTACCAGTACCGGGGGGTCCGACCATCAGGATACCCTTGGGCAGCTTGCCGCCGAGGGTGGAGAACTTGTCGGGGTTGCGGAGGAAGTCGACCAGCTCCTGGAGCTCATCCTTGGCCTCGTCGGCGCCGTGCACGTCTGCGAATCGGGTAGTCTGGTTCTCGGCCTTGGCCTCGCTGTCCACTTTGCCACCGGGTCGCTTGAAAAGGTTGAGACCCTCGACCAGCATCGTGACGACGACCAAGCTGAGATACGTAAAGAGACAGAACCACAAGACGAACTTGACCCAACGGAAGATGACACCGCCAAACGACTCGTCCACAACCACGTGAAGCGGGCTAGTCGGCAAGCCGTTGCCCTGGACCTTCGCAGTAGCCATGTTCGAATCGCGCGACCTCGCAGCCAGAGCCTGACCAACAGCCTGCAGCTGCGCCTGGCTAAGGTTCCCGGGGGACTGCTGGTTCAGCTCCTGACCTCCGAGCGAGCCGGCGTTGCCAAAGGCGGAGGGGAGGTGGTCGTGGCCCCCCATCCCGCCAACGGCACCGGTGCTCTGCATGCCAATCGCCTGCGCGTATGCCTGATCCACCGCATCGTTTCTCGCGAACCGGCCAGAGTTGTAGCGCTCGATGACGATGGCGGGCATGTTGGCCTTGAGGAGGAGCTGGTAGAATGCGTTCTGCGCGGTCGCGCTGCCGGGGTTCCTGTTCGCCGCTGACTCCCTCGTGGCGAGGAGGTTGCGCGAGATGGCATTGTTGGTTCCAAAGAGTCTGTACTGGTGTTGCTGTTGCTGAAGCTGGAGTGCGAGGCCCAGACCGGGGGTCCGAGTGAAGGCGGTGGCGGTCGGGCGAGCGGAGGAGGTCGCGAGCCGAAGGATGGATTGCATCGTCGCGGGCTGCATCGTTGCCCGTCGGAGCAGTGGGCTGGTCGCGCTCAGCGCCAGCGCTGCTGGGCGTAAGGCCATGATGCCCTCGGGTTGGCCGGGTAGGCGCGCTGTCGGCTGGATCGCGTATTCGTCAGAGGAGACAACTTTGATGATTTGCTGGTTGTCGAGTTGGGGATGGAAACAAAGGGTTCCGCAGAGGGGAGTTCCCCGTACGAGACCGAAAAGGGAATCAGAAAAGAAGAGAAAAAGACTTCTTCAGTTGCTATCGACGTATGTGCAAAGTGTGGTGAAGATGACATGGTTTGCGCCGTGGAGTGACTCGTCGTCTTGTTGAGAGCGGCGACGGGGCGGCGGGATATGGATACGTTGAGGCGAAATGCGCTACCTCTTAGCTGACGTTATTCATTGACCACGACACTGCGGTGCTGCCTTCCGAGTTTTTCCCTGCCGAAGCGCCGCGACCGGGGGAGGTACCAAGGCCCAGCTACAGACCCCACGTGACGTCGATTGGATTCTAGAATGTCGCGACTCGCCGGTGCCAGAGAAAGACCGATCCGGCGAATGATGACAGGGTCTTTGGGGTTAATTGGAGACGAGCAGGGGCATAATTTGACCTCGTGTCATTGGTTAATAATCAGATATTCAACTTCATCAGTTTCTCTCAGCATGAAGGTCATCAGACCTAACCTCAAAATACTTGATACTTTAACTGTGAATAAGTATTGTTCTCAAGTTCCATCGCTGACTTTTTGTAGAAGAGCCACTCTCTTTCCCATGAACTCCCGTTTCGAAGCACCTCTCTCAAGACGTCAAGAAAAAGCAATATGATTGGTCAAAAAGCCCCCAACCAATCACAAAATTCCCTCTGTCCATCCATTCGGACCCCCCAGAAACACATCACGACCAAACCAAAGGCAGCAGCTGGCTGAGGAATGAATGGATGCATTCTTCCGCATTCAGAGCAAATAGCTGCAGATCAATCCAAAGCATCCAGGTCCCTCAATTTTGGGAATTAAACGCGCCCTTTCCCGGGAATTCGTCACCTCACTGCTGTCGTCTTCTTTTTCGTCCCTGTCATCTACTACCAAACGTCGTCCGGCTCTTCCTTTCCTTTGCATTTCTTGCCTCAAACATCTCACTGCGCATGTCAGCATTCTCACATCAGCCCGTCAAAAAACTCATCACAAGGCTGCGACGATATCTCACAATCTTCCACTCAAAATGAGCATCACTGGGAAACGCGGATATCCCGGAGATCAGCGCATCTCACGAGCGGATCATCCGGGCTCAAACTTTCTATAGAACCCCCGGCCATGTCTTGACAAAACCTCAAGCTCCAGCTCTCGTCCAGACTCGTCGACAGCAAGACATCACGACAAGATACGCCCTTCTTTACTTTACGATTTGATTTACCTCCACGAACGATGCCAAACGTAACGAACAACCCACGATCATCAAGGACATACATCAACTCTACTCGACGAATACTCTCAACACCATTCCCCTCTCGGATGATCTACATCTCCAACTACCAGAATAGAGCGAGAGTCCCGACTCACAACCGCGCGACTTACGACGCATCCTCTTATCAACACCATCTACCATCTCATCTCACCCGAAGAATCTCATTCAGGCGCAATCAATTTAACCATCGGAACCAAAGAAAACATCACCAGCACCAACAATAACCTAACAAACTAACATGCGAACCCCTTGAACTAACACCGACGCTTCTGCAAGGCAACGTGTCACGACTTACAACGAACAGCCAAACACCTCACTCAACAACATCAAAGTTCTGACTTACACAGGCTAAAATCCCCATCGTCTGGTCATGCGTCCCCCTTTTTAGCCTCGACCGGACTCGTCAAACCTTTTCCCTCACATTCACTCATCTCACTGAGGTTCATAAAAGGGACAATCGGACGCGAAATTTTGATTAACAAGTCTTGATTTTTTCCTTTCTGACTGACCAAGTTTCAATTCCCAAAACTGTCCCATTTGTTTCTCATATCCCTTTGAATACCAACACAATACACAAGGGGGGAAACACGTAAAATTACATATGCACAACCATCTCGTCGTCCCCTCTTCTTCCCCTTTATCCTCCTTTTCCCCCGGTTGTTCCCCCTTCGTCAACCCTCTCTCCCTCTCCCCTGAGGAATACATTGTTCTAGGGAATGCGCCGCCCACCACCAGACAGGAAGAAATCGTCGACTTCGTGCTGTTGTTGTTACAGGGAATGTTTTGTTTTCCGGGTTGCGCCGTGAGGCCTTGAAGAAAAAAAAGCAACGGAGAAGAATTCCAAAGCTGCCCAAACCCGACCGAGCCTTTCGTGTATCAGGCATCGATGACGGTCCCTTTTCTTTCCCCTTTTGCCCTGAGCCTCTTCCATCCTCATTATCGTCCTTCTCCCGTCCCCATGCTTCCCCCCCTCTCCCCCACCAAGGTCGTAAAAGGGCCGTCAAGATTCGGATATCGTCAAATGATTCCTAACATTCCAGTGGCTTTCCCCATCCGCCCGCCCGGCTCCGGCTGTTATGCTTTCGTTGCATCGTATCATCGGGTGCAATCCATCCGACATGGTCGAAGGAAGCCCGATGAGAAAGGAGTGACAAGAACTGAGGAACTATTAAATAAGACAGCACAAATCGCCGTACCGAGCTCCGAAAACCCCTTGAGTACCCCCGAACAAACAAAAACAAAATTATAAACTCGAAGCGACAGAAAGACCACCAATGATATATCCTGGATGAAAAACAGATGCAAATGTTCCGGGTCGACGGGGTAATAGTATGTGCTTGACAAAGGAAACGGTGCGGTGCCCGAGGGCAGAGAGCCACGGAACGAATCGAGGCGGCAATCGAAGCGACAGATCCGGTGATCGTCCTTTTTCGAAAGATTTGGCGTTGACACACGGCAATGCGAAATGTGCCGGCAATGGTGATGGGTTGGTTGTGTGAGTGTTGGAACCCAGAAAACAAAATACCAACTTGATGTATGCTTTTGAGGGTTTGGTTTGACCCGTTCTGTTTCTTTTTTCTTTTTCTTTCCTTGCGTCTGATCCCTTTTGGCCCGTTGAGACTGCCCCAAGGGAGGAACGACAGGCGGGCACTGGGCCTCGAGGCGTCTGAAACGGCTGATCCTCTTCTTTTCAACAATCGACAGCTCGGTTCTGTGGAGCCCGCGTGGTATCTCCTTCTCTTTCAATCAACGAGGTGGGGGAATATGTTAAAATCAAATCGACGTCAAAATTTCCCGTGGTAGTACAACAAGGGGCGCCCGAAGAAAGCACCGATGGAAATGATGAAATTGGTATCGGGAGGCAGGGATGCCTGGAGTGGCGGCGGTCTGGCTCTTACATGTTCTCGATCCGTGCGGACGGGAGCTGCATTGAAGGGTCCTCGAACTCGATCTTGGGGCCGCCCCATGGGTCGTACACGCCGGAGCCGTAGGTCGGCAGCTGGCCGATCGTCGCAACCTCGACCGGTGCCTGGTACGGGACGCCGTTCCAGTACTCTTCGGGCTGGGTCTGGGGTGTCGGTGAGGCGTACTGGCCGACTTGCTGAGGCGGAGGCTGCGGTGCCTGAGTCGGAATCGGTTGGGGGGTATGGATCTGCTGCTGCATCTGGTGGTGCGGGTACGGGACCATGCCGGCTTGTTGTTGCTCGATGACGGGGGAGGCATGATGCAAGGCATACGTGGCTGCTTGGGTTGGCTGGTGAGTATAAAACCCTTCCTGCATGGATGGGCTCCTACCCGATGCTGCCGAGAAGCTGCTCGGGCTGCTTTGGATGGATTGGTTCATACCAGGTTGAGAGTACGGTACATCAACCTGCGGCTGTTGTTGCCGGGGCACTTGTCCGTACTGTTGGGGCATGGCCGTGTTCATGGTAGCGACCCCCGGGTTGCCCTGCTCCGTCACGTAGTACGAGTGCTGGCCCATGCTGGCGGTTCGCTGCAGCATGTGAACACCAGGGTGTTGCTGCTCGTGGACCAGACCGTGGACCTCGTGTGCTCCGCCGGAAGAAAGGCTGTGGCGGTGCGCGCCGTAGTGTTGCTGTTGCTGCTGTTGAGGCATCGGGTAACCGTTCATGTGCTGGCCGAAGTCGGCAAATGAGGCAGCTCGGTGCATGGCATGACCCATACCGGGGTGGTGGTTCATGGCCATCACGCCCTGAGGAGGCCATTGCATGCCGGCGTGCTTCGGGGTCGAAGGAGACTCGCCACTGTCGGAGTCTGATGTGCAGTCGTCCAAAAGCTCGTTGGGGTGGAGGCCACGTTGGTGAGATCTTCTCTGGTGCTTGACCATGGTGGTCTTGCGGCAGAAGCTGTTCAGATGATTAGTGTCAACTCCATCACGCAAAGGGAGAGCCCTAGGCTCGAGATCTACCTCTTCAGGCAGCCATCGTGGGCGCACTTGTAAGGGCGTTTGCCAGTGTGGATGCGGCGATGTCTGGCCAAACTCGAAGACTGTTCAGGTTAGTGCCTGTTGGGACATGTCGCCATCAGAAAAGGATCATACATCAGAGAATCGCTTGCCGCAGCCAATGTGCTGACACTGGTGAGGCTTCTCTCCCGTGTGGGTGCGGATGTGGACAGTGAGAGCACTCCGTTGGATGAAGCTCTTGCCACAGCCGGGCGTTGTGCAGGAGTAGGGACGCTCGTTGGTGTGAATGCGGTAGTGTCTCTGCAAGTCAGACTTCCTGTTGAAGCTCTACAAGATGTTGAGGTCAGATCCGTCCATGTCACATCACATCAGTAGCCAAGTCGGCCCTGCGGTTCGGGACTCACCTTGTTGCACGACTGCCAGTCGCACTGGAAGGGGCGAGCAGTGGGCTCGTTCTCGACAAGCTCCATGAGTTCCATTTCTTTGGGTTTTGTTTGTGTGTTGATCGGATTACCAAGATGCGGACCGGTGCAGTAGCTGTACTACTTATATACTTCCGCGGCGAAGGATATTAAAAGGTGTCTTGAATTATCGGGTGATGAAGGACTCCGGAGCAGAAGAAGCAAGGGTAGGCGTGGGTTGATGTGTGTACTATGGTACCCCGGTTCGGAACGTTGCTTAAGCGGGATGCTCAATGCGGGTTCTCTGTATGCAGACTCCCGAATCGTCGTTCAAGGAATGACGGGTTGGGACAAGGAGGCAAGGGTGGAGAGAATCTGTGCCGAGAAGTAGGAGGTCGACGACTGGAGACAGGAACGGGTGCGGCGTCCAGCGCAAGGTTGCCGAAGATGAGCAATGTTCGAAGCGTTGAAGACGACGGTGCGTTCAAGAGCGTTGAACAATGCAAGGAGAGGGTGGACGGATGATGTTAAGAGAGAAGAAGATGATGAGGAAGAGGCCTGAGCTTGGTTGGGGGTGTTGGTATTAATCAGGCGTGGTGGCGGAGGTGAAGGGGGAATCTGACACTCCTCTTGAGGTCGATAGGAAAAGAGATGGAGATTAAGATGTGTGAGAAGGAGAGTAGTAGGTATGAGAGAGGAAGGGGGAGTGAAGCTGGTAGGAAACGATCAGCTCAAGATAACCCAAGGTACGACGAACTGATGAAGGCCAGGAGGTGGAATGGGTTCATAGCGGGTGGGAGTAGCCTTCTTTAAGACAGCCACAAGTGTGGACGTACCAGAAGGTGGGAGGGTCCTGGTGCACAGGCACTAAAATTCTCCGTCTTCGATGAAAATTAGCCACCTGACTGGAGGATCTGTTGCGAGTGGTCGAGCGCAAACTGGTGGGAAGTGCTGATGTTGCTTGCAGGACAATCCCTTCTTCGGGCGGCGGATGAGATAAGAAGGGTGAACCAAGTTCGGGCTGGCTTGCCGTGTATTCTGTTTCGAAGTCCAAGTGTCGAGGGCCGGCGTGTGTTAAGTTTCCGAGACTAGAAGCATAATGGTGACCACCAGGAACAATGCGATCGTCGAACCTCTGAGCGCTCAGGTACGGGAGACCAAGCGGATCTTGGACGACTGGCGTCTTTTTTTTTTTTGTTGCTTGAGGGGTGTCTGGATGACAAGAAACAAACTCGAGTCTTCTACCGGCAGCTTCCTTGCTTCTATTTTCTCGTCTGGCTTCTCTTCAACGACTCGCGCAGAAGTGTGCACAGAGCTCTTGATCGTCTCCGAAGGTGAGGAGGAGCCAACTGCAATATGGTCTAGACAGACGGACCGCGAGAATCACCCAAGTGGGGGGCCGAAGGAAGGTACTAGGAAGGACGTCTGAGGCTCTTCTCACTCTTTCTCGTGGTGTGTGTGGTGAGGCTACTTTGGGCGAGATGCCAGGATGTTGCAAGTGTCGACGACGGTGAGCCGGGAATGGAGAAACCTTGGTGTCTGTGGTGAGAGTCGAGTAGTGTGTGTCGTGGTGGAGAACTGACGAGTGAACGACAGATTTGAATGTTTTTTTTTTTTTTGTTATTGTTGTTCAATCGACTTATGAAGGATGACGACGGTGATAGTATGGTGTTGTTGGTTGAATTGTAGTTTACCCTCAGGAACGACAAGGACGAGTGGGATATGCCCGGCACAAGACGAGTCCAAACACAACAGCGTACTTTTGGCTGAAGAAACGAAACAATGTGGGAAGTTGAGATGAGGTGCAGTTGCGTGCGTGTCGTTGGTGTATGTGAGAGGTCGTGGCGCTATGTTATACTACAAGGGGCAGAAGAGAGACGATCGCAGGCCCAGTCCAAGATTATCGTGGAGGCGTTGCTTTATGAGCGAAAGACGTGAGGCGTCTGATGAAGGTATATATTATCGGCAGCAATATAGCATTGCATTCAAAAGAAGTGGTGCTTCTTTGCTCTGCTGGAGCGGGCAGGTTGCTCTTCCAGGGGCCCCTGGAACGAGGTATGGATTCTGAGCAGGGGGATAGGGGAGCTGTGGAGGGGTGGAGTGAGGTACGCCTCTAGGTACCTGAGGTAGTACCGATTGGGCCCTTTCTTATTTTCGACGGTGCAGACGGGTAAGAGAGAGGAGCAAGGCAGGGGTACCGGTAGGGTAGGGTAGGGTAGTGGGAGGGGAGAGGGAGGAGGAGAGAGGAGGAGTACCAGGAGGAGGAGGGTAAGGGTAAGGTAGGTCGAGTGACTTTTGGCATGTACCGTAACCGGCGTCGTACCTCGCCGGCGGGCCTTTGGTGTGGGAGACGCTCGAGCGCTGGCAGGCCAGGTAGGGCCGGCCTGGTTTTGCTACAGAAATTGATTAGATCAACCGAGAGGAGAAACCACGCGCCAGACTTAGATGGCGGACGGCCCTGCGGGCGTGGCGATCCTTAGAACGGGGGAGTAGGTAAGTCGTTCTGTGCGCCAGGTCGCAGACGTTCAAAACGGAATAGCCTCGATATAAATATATTATACGTTTGTGGCTGGCAGTGATGGGCTGTCCGGAGAACGGGACAGAAGGAGTTGAATATGAAAGGAAGACGTTGTTGGCGGGCTTGTATTGGGCGAATGGGAATTTTGAGTTGAGGGGGAATGATTGAGTGAGAGAAGCTGCAAGCGCACAAACACACACCTGCAGGTTGAATGATTGTCTACTCCTACTGTTCGCTGGCTATATGCCGGGACCGAGAAGTCCGCACAACACACAGCGTCCGAGCAAGTTCAATTGCACCTGGGGCAGGAAGGCGGGAAAACGGGTGATGAATGGGAGTGATATCCGTAGGTCAATGGACCCTCAAGATGTACACAGCTCGAAAAGCAGGCAAGAAGAAGCAAGGCCCCAATGTGACGAGTCGAGGCGGCAGAGTAATGATGAGACGCTCTAGGTATGCCGGTAGCAAGGGCCTCTAGTTTCTACTCTCCTCTCGGATCGTCTGTCCGTGGAGGTAACCGTTGGCAAGGTGTATGAGAAGAGGGGATAAGTTTGCTTTATGTTGCAAAGAAGGAAGAGAGATATGATACAAAAAAAAAAAAAAAAAAAAGAGACCTGGGTATGGTTGGTACTGTATGTAGGTACTGCACTGTACGGTACACCAGCACAGAAGCAATGAACAAAAATAAAAAATAAAACTGTTGGTGATGACTATGGGGGAAGGGGGACCCTGGGAAAGCGGTGCTGGTTTGGATGGAGAATGAGCAGGGCTGAGGTGACGGTTGGGGAGCGCGTCTGTGAGGTGAGGACGAGCGGTGTTGAAGATGAGATGTGAGGAGCGTTTCTTTTTCCACGACGTCTCTGCTGCTGTGCTGCTGGCGCTGGGCTGTTCTGGTGGTGGTGGTGGAGGAGGTTCCGCAAGCCACGGCCGCAATTCCCTACGAACAGACAAAGTCGGGGGTCTGTCCTCCCGGCAAGGAAGCACAGTCGTTGGGAAGAAAGCT